TTCATAAAGTCCATTTGACCGTTTATGATCTTTTCTTTAGTGTGCCTCTTTCGTATAATTGGTTGAATTAACGTCTTAAGTAGAAGTTGATTGTAGGTTTTGAAAATGCATAGCTACGTTAACTCTGTTTCTGGAACTCATTCAGAATTCGTCAAGGTTCGTGATCAATGCTTGTTTACCTTGGGCAACGAAAAATAAAAAAAAAACAAAAGAAGAATCGTTTTTCCTCATTTTTGATCAAAATTCAATTGGGTATACAATTATCGTTATTGTTTCAAAGAAAGAAAAATATACCGAAAGATATTTTTATTATTTTTGAATGAAATTTAGTACGGTAAAAATAAATAAATGATAATAATAATAATAATAATAATAATAATAATAATAATAATAATAATAATAATAAATAATAATAAATTTTACTAATAAATAATATTAATAATAATAAATAATATTTTTAAATATTTAACATTACCGACATAGAAATCTACATTACCGACTGATGGTAAATAAAATAATAAGGTAAATCGATCGAATCGATGAAACTTTAAATATATTTAAAATTGAACTGAATTAATATTTAATATATTATTAATTTTTTAAATTATATTTATTTATATTATTTGTTTCGAATTTTGTCTTTACACGGTGGATATATGTATATGTTAATTTTGAGAATTTAAGGGAGGAGCCACATTCCGGTATACCAAGTGTAATTATACTGAAATCGTCTGATATACAGTGTTTCCTTCACATTAGTTGGCTAGTTTATGGTTCGGTTAATTCGCCTTAATTAATACGAAAGATCTCGTCAAACCTCCTCCTGTCCATCAAGAATCACGCTAGTTGTTCATCCAGTTAAGCCTACAATCTAGCTGCAATATGAACGCAGTGGTTCTCGTATCTTGACTCCGTAACCTTTTGGAAATTCTTGTTGTTATTATTATTATTATTATTTATTTTTTTTTTTTGAAATAAAATAAGCCCCCCGAGGTCAAGTCGAAATTATCTATTTAATTTTTTCCATCAAAATTCACGATATTAAAATCCATTTATTTTTATATTCCCTTTGGAATATTTGAAAAAAACCAAAATTAAATTAACGATAAAAAGAGACAATTATCTAATTCATAAAAAATAATAAACATATATATTAGAGTAATTTTTGCTTTCAATTGCATATTGATCCCGCGCGTACTCGTATATTATGGATAATGGAATTGAAATGGATATTGAATTCAGTTGGGCACCGATAGCGGCATGAACCGATTCTCTTGAGACTTCCGGCTTTTCAACTATATATATATATTTAATCGAAAATAAATTTGATATGTAAAAAGAATATTTTATCCAACAATTGACATTATTGTTTTCATGATTAATAAAATGATTTATTCTCATGATTGTTATGTGAAAATCTTTTCTCATGTTATATTATTAGGAAATATTGTAAAAAAATTTCATTGATTAGCATATTTATCATTACATTTCTTCTGATTGCCAATCGGCTAGATATATGTTTTGTAATAAATCGATTTTTTTTTCTTTTCATATCTATATATATATATATATATGTCAATTTAACAAGTAATTGACAATCATAATCATCACGTAATACCGTTGAGAGACAGCTCGAGAGAAATCGAACCCACACGCCGCGATCGATCGAATCGAATCGATGAAACCTTATCGATCACCCGTCCAATGTGGATGAAGCATTCACTCGTCGCAAATTCAATGTGCACGTTAAGAGGTTTCCCTTGCGATTTGCGATACATCGATCTTGCTTTAGAAAAAAAAAAAAAGAAACCACAAATCAAAGTGACACTCGAAACAAAATGATTTTTGATTTTTAAAATCAATTTTACCGATTTACAAGCAAAGATAAATTCTGAATTAAGAATTAATAGTTCTGAATTTTAATTAAAAAAAAAATTTTATTTACTATTTAAAAAATAATTTCTTTTTTGTCGATCTAAACCGGAAGGGAATGGAAAATTCCTCGATATTCTCCAACAGGGTAAATGGAATTTTTTTTTTTTTTGATTTAATCAGATAAATTCATTAATTAACAAGGAAAACGGTAAATATATAAAAGATAATAGTGAATTGAATTGAGCACCTCGACTGACTCTCTCTGGACCAGACAAAAGATCCTGGTTCTCACGACCACGCCCTCCCCACCACACTTGCCTCTTTTAGATGACGGTACTGCGAGGCGCACGAAAGGCACTCATCTACCGGAAACTCCATGAGTCGAACACCACACAGCTTTCGACTCGAACGATATAACGTAAGATTAACCGTACGTGTCGGAGGATAAATTTTATCTTCACATAAACAATAAAACTTGAATCATAAATCAAAATAAATTTTAAAAGCGATGTAATCAGCGCAGAAAGAACGATAAATTTATGAATTGATATGACGCATTATGCTCTCTCATATAAATATATATAAATTCGAAAAGTGTGCAATGTTTCAGTTAACATTCATCTCAATTTACCTCGCCAATTTACTAATTACCGTCAATAGATGATCGCTAAATTACATCAATATAATATATAGATGTTTTCTTTTAACTTTGGTATTAAAAAAAAGTTCTTTTCATGCAGACCATTTTTGCATTTCCTATCATTGAATCCATAAATGATACCGTTATTTTTATCAAAAATTAATGATTTATTGGGTCAATTATAAGTAGTACCAATCATTAATGGTACGAAGGATTAATATAACTAATAAGTAATGGTACCATTAGTGGAACCATTAGTGGTACCATTAGTGGCACCAAATATTAATGATACCATAAATTAGTGGTACCAACATTTAGTTGTACCAATAATTAGTGATACCAACCATTAGTGGCACCAACTTTATGTAGTACCAGTAATTAGTGGTACCAACATTTAGTGGCACCAAATATAATTGATACCATAAATTAGTGGTACCAACTTTAAGTGGTACCAAATATTAATGATACCATAAATTAGTGGTACCAACAATTAGTGGCACCAACTTTAAGTGGTACCAATAATTAGTGATACCAACAATTAATGGCACTAACTTTAAGTGGTACCAGTAATTAGTGGTACTAACATTTAGTGGCACCAAATATTAATGATACCATAAATTAGTGGTACCAAAATTTAGTGGTACAAACAATTAGTGGCACCAACATTAAATGGTACCAGTAATTAGTGGTATATTTGGTGCGACTAAATGTTTTTAGTGGCACCAAGTATTAATGACACCATAAATTAGTGGTACCAACAATTAGTGGCACCAACTGTAAGTGGTTCGAAAATTTAGTGGCACCAAATATTAATGGTACCATAAATTAGTGGTACCAACATTTAGTGTCACCAAACATTAATGATACCATAAATTAGTGGTACCAATAATTAGTAACACTAACAATTAGTGGCACCAACTTTAAGTGGTACTAACATTTAGTGGCACCAAATATTAATGATACCATAAATTAGTAGTACCAAAGCTTACTGGTACCAAATATTAATGATACCATAAGTTAGTGGTACCAAAGATGAATAATACGAATTGTTAATGATACCAACGATTAGTGATAGCAATAGTTAATGGTACAAACGATAATACTAATAATTAATCTTACCTATCGTTAAACCAATAAGTAAAATTTCGTTACATTTTAGATAAAATGGTTTTTATTGTGAAAAAAAAATTGTTACAGCAATATTATTCGCAAGCTTAAAATCTCTGTTTTATTTTCATATTGTTGCCAATTACATTCGAATGTCTGCAATTTTGAAATGGAAAATATAAAAACGTCAGTTGAGATTGGCTTAATTATTTTCGACTAATCGACTAGGCGTTAGAAGGCAATTACGTGTATTGCGATGACTCAACGTGGGAAAGTCTCAGTAATTAGTCAATTACTGAAACCTGTGAAAGGCTCGCGTTTGTAAGCTCAGGCAAAAAGGAAAAAAAAAGAAAAGAAAAAAAGAAGTGATTTCTTTTTACCATTTATGTTGATCGAGTTAGTTGAAAGATCCACAAGAGATATCCGCGTTTTAAATAGGAAATTCAACTTCTAATGAATAATGAATAATATAGCGTGCCATTGTCCCTTATAGCAATTACTCTAGTTTATGCGCCACAGTTTTTTTTTTTATTTGGTTACTAACAAAACAAAGCGCCGCACTTGACAATGAGTTATTTCTTATTTATATACGGGATATAATTTAATTAAGTGTTTCGAAATTATTATTGTGCGAAGTTATAAAAACATCGCGTAATAAGTATACGTGAGGTAATATATAATAAGGAATTGTTTTCCTAAAAGAAAATAGAAAAAAAAGTCATTAAGAGATTGAATGTTAATAATTTTCTTTCAAGTTGCCGCATTTTATTTCTTATTTGCAAAAAAAAAAAAAAAAATTTCAACACTTGGAAATAAAATTATTTTAATCGTCTCAAAATAATTTTGTTTGCAAAAATATTAATTTTTAAAAAATTATATCTAATAAAAATAAAATTTCGTTTATCACCAGTTTGCAAAATTTTTCTGCCGAATATAAACATTAATTGCAAATGCATATATAAACGCCTTAATGTCAATTATAAATTCAATGACAGTAACTCGTATATTATGGAATAATGATAATTAACAAGATTGACAGTAATTAACAGACCACTTTTTGTTATTAGGTTCTATTGGAGAAAAAGATAGTTGTTTTATTATTAAACTGCTCATTAAAGTAGTTGAAATCACTCCTTTTTTCCATCTTCCCCCCTCCCCTACCCTTCATAAAATCAAATATGGAAGTTTTCATGTTTATTCAATAAGCCCCATAGTCGTTTAAGCACCAATTTTGTCAGCCAATCACCTCTATTCATTTGATTAAAAGGGGTGTTTCTTTTTCTAATTGACCATTGAATTTACTATAAAAAGACTTATTTCATTTGGATCGAGTATGATAATTTGTTGTTGTTGTTGTTGTTGTTTTTATAATACTTACCAGTATGAGTTCTTTTGTGAGCCTTGAGATGTGAACTTTTTGTGTAAACTTTGTCACATCCTGCAACGTCACATCTGTGCACTTTGCGTCGTTTTAACGCATCTCCACATTCACTGTCAACACCCAAACTGGCTCCATTACCACCAACACCGCCATTACCCCTTCCACCAAGGCCTTGATTACAAACAATTCCAGCGGGTCGTTTATGAAAAACACTGTAACAAAAATAGGAAATTTTTTTTTTTTAATGAAATATTGTTTATAAACGATAAAATGGGTGATTATTAAAAATGATAATTAATTGTACTTTTAGTTAATGGTAGCAATGATTAATGGTACCAAAATTGGTACTTCTGATTAATTGTACCATTAATGTTAATTGTATCATTGAAACCATTGCCATTTCAATTGAAGATAAGAACTAAAATTGGTAACACTAATTAATACTAACATTAATTATTGGTACCATTAAATTGTGGTATCATTAAACTTTGGTACTAATTATTAGTGGTAAGATTTATGATTGGTACCACTAATTATTGGTACCATTAGTCTCTGGTACGGTTAATTATTTGTACAATTAATCATAGGTACCGCTAATTATTTGGTACCAATCATCTTTAGCACCACTAATTATTTGGTACCATTCATCTTTGGTACCACTAATTATTTGTACCATTAACTGATCTACCATTAATTACTGGAATTTCTCCTACCATTAATTATTAGGCCTATTAATCTTTGGTGCCACTAATTATTCATATCATTAATTTTTATAACCACTAATTCTTGTTACCATTAATCTATAGTACCATTAATGATTGGTACCACTAATTATTGGTACCATTAGTCTCTGGTACCATTAATTATTTGTATAATTAATCATAGGTATACTGCTAATTATTTGGTACCAATCATCTTTAGCACCACTAATTATTTGGTACCATTCATCTTTGGTACCACTAATTATTAGTGCCATTAATAGTTGGTACCACTAATTATTTGGTACCATTCATCAATGGTGCCACTAATTATTAGTGCCATTAATAGTTGGAACCACTAATTAATATTACTATTAATCGTTGGTACCATTAAACATTGGTACTATTAATTAATTTTACCATTAATCCGTCGTATCATTAATCTATGGTACCACTAATGATTGGTACCACCAATTAATATTACAATTAATATTAGGTACCATTAATTATTATCAACATTAACCATCAGTACCATTGATCACTGGTACTACTTATTATTATTATTATTATTGCCATTAATATTTGGTGCAATTTATTAATATTACCATTAATCGATGAGACCACTAATTAATATTACCATTAATCGTTGCGACCATTAATTATTGTTACCATTAATCATTGGTACCATTAATTATGGTACAACTAATTAATATTACTATTAATCGTTGGTACCATTAAAAATTGCTACCACTAATTAATGGTACCATTCATCCTTGGTATTATTAATCTTTGGTACCACCAATTATTGTTATAATTTATCATTGGTACCACTAATGTTTGTTACCATTAAAGTAGCATACCTCTTTTGATTGGTACCAGTAATTAATATTACCATACATTTTTGGTACCATTAATTTTGATTATTAATTATTATTACCATTAGCCATTAGTATCATTCATCATTGGTACCACTAATTCTTAGTACCTTTGGGTAATTTTTGTTAGCATTAACTATTAATATCATTTATCATTGGTTCCATTTATCATTGGTACCAGTAATCTTTGGTATCAGTAATCTTTGGTACCAGTAATCTTTGGTACCAGTAATATTTGGTACTAGTAAACTTTGGTACCACTAATTTATGGTATCCTTAATATTTGGTGCCATTAAATGTTGGTACCACTTAAAGTTGGTGTCACTAATTGTTGGTACCACTTAAAGTTGGTGCCACTAATTTTTAGTGTCACTAATTATTGGTTCCACTAAATATTGGTACCACTAATTTATGGTATTATTAATATTTGGTGCCACTAATTGTTGGAACCACTTAAAGTTGGTGCCACTAATTGTTGGTACCACTAATTTATGGTATCATTAATAATTAGTGCCACTAATTACTGGTACCACTTAAAGTTGGTACCAACAACTTTTGGTACCATAATTCAATGGTTCGTTTGATGAAACCAATGATTAATTTTTTCAATTATCAATAGTACCAATGGTACCAGTGTTTGATACATTTATTAGTTCCTAAAATTTGGTACCACGGTCTTATTTTATTGCTGTACAATGTCTAACATCCTGATATAAAAGTAGAAATCGTTTTTTATTATTCTAAGAAACATACATCTTTAATCTTGAATTTGAAACTCTTTGCTTGTTGTACCTATGTAATAATAGTCAAGTAAAAAGCAGGAAATCTATTATAAGAAGCAATTCTTTATAGGCTGATGAAAATCTGTAAGTCGAAATCGATTTGCTATCGATCTGTAAACAACATCGATCAAAGATGAATGCCTTCGAGTACCGCGCGAGAGTCTCTTATAGAGTGACTCTTTTATTATTCGTTTCTTGAAGTTGTTGTCAGTGAGTTTTTTCTTTCAAAAAGAAAAGAAAAAAAAAAAAAAAAAAAGAAAAAATTTTTTCCCTCTTTTTATTTTTAAATCGATCATCGCCATACGAAGAAGATCGAATCGGACAGATGGAGAATTCAGAAGTCTAAAGGAGATATGCTTGCCATGGCAAGAAAAGAAGCAACAATAACGGGAGCGGTCATGGTGCACACAAACGTGGGCAAAAGCGCCACATACCACTTGGGCAATATATCCTTCAATGACTACAGTCATTGCAATCACACCGCACCTTCGATCTTCTCTCTTCCTTCACCGTCAAACCCTGTACCTACTAGTCAGTGTCATTCTATGACCGTTGACTACTATTGTTTTTGCTGCAACTTGCGAGAGGACTACGAGACATTAATGGTGGTAGGATCGTCTCTTGAGGTCGTAGAAAATCAATAACGTCCCAGGTTTTAACGAGTCTCATTAATTCCGCACCAATGCCAGATTAGGGCTGATTTCTTATCCATAGAGAGCTGAGAAGTCACTAGATAAACTCGTCTTAGCCTTGAAATTAATCAATCTGATGTCGAATACAAGAGAGTGAGTGAGAGAGAGAGAGAAAGAACAAATGGAACTCGTCGAATCCAATTGAGATTTTACAGCCAATGAATAAGGAGGGGGGGATAGGGGGGGATAAAAAACTACAATTTTCAAATTAAGGAAGCTTGCCCTATAAAATGTCGATTGACAATTCTAGATTCTGTCGCTTCAAATGATCGAGGGAAAATTAATCATGAAAATAAACGATTTAGTCATCAATCTTACAATTATCCCTGACATTGTATGCCTAACTTGGTCCTGGCGTTTTTATCTATATGTTTTTTCCTCTCACTCAGAATCGTTGAGAAAAATTCTTTTATTTTGTTTTCTTAACTCACTTTTTTTTAAATAAACTCAAAATCAGAAAAAAAAATTATAAAAATTAGATTTTGTAAATAGTTGAAAAAAATTGAATTTTTTTGTTCTGAATTTCTGATTTAATCTCAAGATGCATTCTTCATTTATTGTTTTATTGAAGGATCGTTAAATTGCAAAGACCCCTTCTATCTCTGTCACATCTAAATCGCAATCATTGCGCAATGTGTATCGTCCACTGATCTTAATCACCACGTGAGCATCCATGGCGAAAAACTTGTCTCTTCAAACATATATTGGAATGATCTATATGTCTTCATTCGCCATCAGGCGGAATAACTTCCCATCTGCTGTGATTTTATTTTCTTTCTCACTTTTATCTTTTTTTTTTTTAATTACAATCTAAAAAATTGTTTATTAACAAAAAAAATTATCTTGTTTCAGAGAAAAATAGTTGTTACAGTGAAAAATAAATTATTTGATTCAAATAATTTTAGTGGTACCAACAATTAGTGGTACTGATAATAAGTGGTACCAACTTTTAGTGGTACTGATAATAAGTGGTACCAACTTTTAGTGGCACTAAATTTTAGTGGTACTAACAATTAGTGGTACCAATAGTTAGTGGTACCAATAGTTAGTGGTACTAACATTTAGTGGTACTAATAATTAGTGGAACCAATAGTTGGTGGTACCAATAGTTAGTGGTACCAATAGTTAGTGGTACCAATAGTTAGTGGTACCAACATTTAGTGGCACTAAATTTTAGTGGTACTAACAATTAGTGGTACCAAAATTTAGTGGCATAAAATTTAGTGGTACCAACAATTAGTGGTACCAATAGTTAGTGGTACTAATAGTTAGTGGTACCAATAGTTAGTGGTACCAATAGTTAGTGGTACCAATAGTTAGTGGTACCAATAGTTAGTGGTACCAATAGTTAGTGGTACCAATAGTTAGTGGTACCAATAGTTAGTGGTACCAATAGTTAGTGGTACCAATAGTTAGTGGTACCAACAATTAGTGGTACCAATAGTTAGTGGTACCAATAGTTAGTGGTACCAATAGTTAGTGGTACCAATAGTTAGTGGTACCAAAATTTAGTGGCACTAAATTTTAGTGGTACCAACAATTAGTGGTACTAACATTTAGTGGTAGCAATAATTTTTACTATTATCAAATAAATATTTATTTGTATCAAATAATTATTATTTGAGATGGTATTTGTTTAAAATACAGAAATTATTAGTTCAAATACAATTCAAATAAAAATTATTTGGTTCAAGTAAATATTTATTTGATGTTAAGTAACCGATTATTTGAATCAAATAAATTTTTTTCTTTTCTCCCATTGAAATGGCTATTAAAATAGATTTTCCATTTGATATCCATGGGAGAAAAGTGAAAAAGTAATTTTCACATTCTCTTTCCACATTTGTTTTCAACTATATGCGAAAGTTTACGTAATTACGTGATTTTCTTTTTTTTACATTCACTTATATATTCATTATAAGATTTCCCAATAAATCCATTGAACGTTCGCCATTTCTTTTTAAAAAGTGAAATTCGTCACGTTCTCATCGTAACTTAGTGGATAATAAGCAGTTTGAAGAAGTGAGAACGTCCGTTATTCTGGTGAAAATGGGTTGGTGGTACTTCGTTAATTGAAAAGAAGAGCATACACATACATATTATGCATGAAGTACGTGTCAAAAAATGGAATATATACTTTATAAAGAAGAAAAAGAAGAAGATTCACCCAAATTCGACATGCAATAATTGATTTAAGAGATTGTACGAAAGTTTGAAAATAAGCACTTTCATGTTATATGTATACATGAAAAACAAGTAACTTTCAGATCACTTAAATTGTGTTATGTGTATGGAAAAAAACGCTCTCCTTTATTTTTTTTATAATTCATCTCACAGTACGCCCTCTTTTTCATGCTCTCTAAAGTCAAGAATTAAGGATAAAATTGAAAATTACCTAAATTACAAGTGAATAATTGCGATACATCAAAAATTATTATTCCCTCAGCGTTAAATTAAAATTGTATTGGATTAAAATGTTGAGAAGCAGCGACATTGACACAAAACTATTTAAAGTGAGACCGTAATAAAATAGAAAAAAATATGCTTTGGATTTTAAATTGTAATTTACATTACAAAATTAAATTACAAATTTTTATTCTATCAATAATTAGTGGCACTAAATTTTAGTGGTACCACTAAAAGTTGGTGCCATTAAATGTTGGTACCACTAATTGTTGTTACCACTAAATACTGGTACCACTAATTATCAGTACCTCTAATTATTGATACCACTAATTATTGGTGCGACTAATTATTGGTACCAAATATTAGTGGCACTAAATTTAGTGGTACCAACTATTAGTGGCACCAATTTTAGTGGTACCAATTTTTAGTGGTACCAACATTTAATGGCACCAAATTTTAGTGGTACCAATAATAATTAGTGGTACCAACATCTAGTGGTACCAACATTTAGTCGTACTAGTAATTAGTGGTCCCAACATTCAGTGGTACCAACATTTAGCGGTACCAATAATTTCTTTTTTTTTGCTACAGTTAGATACATTTTTTTGCGCTCATATTTCTTAGCACCATTTTGAGTTCATTTATCGCAATAAGAGAAGAGAACTCACGAAAAGTATCGGGTACAACACGTTCTACTGTGTATTTAGGGTAATTGAAAAATATTATTCGCTCACTGCTGCTTTTAAAGAGGTGGTTCGGCGAAACCAAAAAAAAAAAAAAAATTGCTCAACTTTTTTTTTACGAGTTGACGAATTACCAACTGCCTCAATGCTTTTCACGTGAAAGATTAATGTATGAAATCTGTAAATTTGACGGAAGATTAAACGATCCCTAATGACGTATAACTATCTTGTTTTACATTGTAGATATAAATTGACTTGAAAAAAATGTTAAGCAAATGTTTTGTGAACAAAATATTTTTACCCTCTTTTCTTTAACCTCAATTACTAATCTCTTTTGATCAAATTTTTGTCAGAGAAAATTACATTATTTCCGAAGATATTGATAAGTGGGTTAATAAATTTGTACAGAGATGACATTTAAAAATTGTAATTGTTTGTGTTTAAAGAGGCATAAATTCGGTTTGTCTCTCTCTCTCTCTTTTTTTTGTGAATGATACACGCCCTAGTTTGGTGTGTGTGTACGAGGCTCGAAACGAGCCACATGGCGTAGAGTTACGCGCGGACGTGTTCTTTGGTACACGCCTCCCCTTGTTTCAGGTGTGCGACGTGAGTTGCGAGAACCGGATACGCTAATTTACAGTGCACAATAACTCCCACTGAATGCCACGAAGACGACTCGAAAACTCGCTTAATTGGACGAACCTTATAATAAGCAGTGGCGATACCAAATGTCGCCTCACGGTTCGAGATAAGGTTCACTCTCTTTCTTTTTTTTAACTATCTCACTGTCTCAAGCGCCATTTTATATTTTTCAAAGAAAAAACAATAATTTTTTAATTTTTTGCGATTTACGATATTTAGTGATACCAACATTTAGTGATACCAACATTTAGTGATACCAACATTTAGTGGTACTAATATTTAGTGGTACCAACAATTTGTGGCACCAAATTTTAGTGACACCAACTTTTAGTGCTACCAACAATTAGTGGCATTAAAAATTATTGGTACAACTAAAATTTGGTGCCACTAATTGTTGGTACCACTAAAAGTTGGTACCATTAAAATTTGGTGCCACTAATTGTTGGTGCCACTAATTGTTGGTGCCACTAATTGTTGGTACCACTAATTGTTGGTATCACTAAAAGTTGGTACCACTAAATATGGTGCCACTAAAAGTTGGTACCACTAAAATTGGTGCCACTAATTGTTGGTAACACTAAATGTTGGTGCCATTAATTGTTGGTACCACTAAATATTGGTACCACTAAAAGTTGGTACCACTAAATTTGGTGCCACTAATTGTTGGTACCACTAAATTTGGTACCACTAAATTTGGTGCCACTAATTGTTGGTGCCACTAATTGTTGGTACCATTAATTGTTGGTACCACTAAAATTGGTGCCACTAATTGTTGGTAACACTAAATGTTGGTGCCATTAATTGTTGGTACCACTAAATATTGGTACCACTAAAAGTTGGTGTCACTAAAATTTGGTGCCACTAATTGTTGGTACCAATAATTAGTCGCACCAACAATTTGTGGTACCAATAATTAGTGACACCAACTTTTAGTGGTACCGATAATTAGTGGTACCAACTTTAAGTGGTAGCAATAATTGTTTTGTGGACTTTACTATTATCAAATAAATATTTATTTGTATCAAATAATTATTATCCGAGATTCTATTTTTACATTTCTTATTTGTATCACCATTTTCATGTAATTTAAAGTAAATTTCCTTGTTTTTCAACTAACAATCGTAAAATTATTTTAGTTTCTATTGGAAAAAAAAATTCGTTACTCTTCTTCCATTATCGTTAAAGAATGGTTATCTCGCAACGAGCTGTTGGTTCTTTCGTGTTGAGGACTTCTCAACGACTATACCCGCAGTAGAAAAGACCTTTTACCCTGCATTTAACTTGTGGTTAGTAGCATCTAATTTTAGTGCCGTACAAGTCGAAGTTCAAAAGAAAAAAAAATCTCCCCCTTTTTTTTTTAAAAAAAAGAAAAATACACCTTGTTAGTTTCCAAAGCCATTTGACATTGTTTGCTGAACCGTATGAAATTTATTTTTCAGTGTAGAAATTCCTAATGAACCAGGGGCCACACCAGGCGCTGATCAGGCTGAAATAGGAAATCAAAAACTTCACGGAATAACAAAGTAAGTTTTCTTTTTTTTCAAATAAAAATTGAATTTTCAATTTTTTTGTTGTTTCAAATGATAAATATAATCATCTAGTCATCATAAATGTTAATCGATTGAAATTGGGCGGGGAGAAAAGATTCAGAGATAATTTTTGATCATGGTATATGGTATTGTATATATACATATATACACAATCATATATGCCGAGTATATTTGACCAAGTGAATTATGAGCCATTGAGTAATCGAGTTATACGTCGTTAGGGCAGCAATATTATTCAGCGATAACTGCTGCACTCCATTCTCATTATTCTAACATTTGCCCATAAAAGAAGACAATGGTCTCGCTGTGCATACAATACATATACATATACACAAACACATATGTATACACAAATACAAGTCGAAAGCGATGAACGTTTCGGAGGGTAAATGGGAAAAAAATCTTTTGATTTCCCTGACAAATTATACGAGATTTACGAGAAGATCACGATCCTGTCGTATTACCCTTAGGCGTGTCAGTACATTTAATGAATTATGATCGTACATAATGTTTTGCACATTCTAACCGATGAGGGTGATTTGGAAAATTGACAATAATTATTTCTTGACAATTAGCGTGAAAAGATCTATTAACTTATCTTATTTCATTAACGGTTGATGATTTTCATTTTAATTCGAGCGCCGGCTTTAAGAGGACTTAAATAGAGGTTTTTTGTGGCCCCAGATTGTGCCACACTAGCTCCTGATTGGGCAAAAATAAGGATTTTTCTATTCTATTTCTATTCTTAATGGTACCAATAATTAGTGGTAGGTACTAGCATTTAGTGGTAACAACATTTAGTGGTACCACTAAATTTGGTGCCACTAATTTTTGGTACCAATAATTAGTCGCACCAAATTTAGTGGTACCAATATTTAGTGGTACCAATATTTAGTGGTACCAAAAATTAGTGGTACCAACAAAAAGTGGTACCAACAAATAGTGGCACCAAATTTAATGGCACCAAATTTAGTGGTATCAAAATTAGTGGCACCAAATTTAGTAGTATCAAAATTAGTGGCACCAAATTTAGTGGTACCAACAATTAGTGGCACTAAATTTTAGTGGTACCAACAATTCGTGGTACCAACAATTAGTGGCATCAAATTTAGTGGTACCAAAATTAGTGGCACCAAATTTAGTGGTACCAACAATTAGTGGCACCAAATTTAGTGGTACCAACAATTAGTAGCACCAAATTTAGTGGTAGCAAAATTAGTAGTACCAAATTTAGTGGTACCAAAATTAGTGGCACCAAATTTAGTGTTACCAAATTTAGTGGCACCAAATTTAGTGGTACTTATTTATTTGCAAATCTAGAAATAATAATTTAGTTTTAAAAAAAACATTTTTTTCTACTCACTCAGAAGCTTCCTTTATCCTTTGCAATGCAAGAAGTGCCGCTGACGATGAGACAAATACAGGATCAGGTGGTTCCATGACGAAAACTGATACCTCCCTTTCTCTCTCCCTTTCGCGTCTCTCTCGTTCTTTCTCCCGATCCCGCGAGTCTCTCACTCGTGCAGTTCGATCTCTGTCATGTTGCCTGTCTCTCTCGCACTCTCGCTCTCTCTCGTTTCGCGTTTGATCTCTATCTCGCTCTCGATCTCGCTCCCTTTCTCGATCTTGATCTCGTTCGCGAACGATATCTGCCAATGGCAGAGCTGAAGATACTGAAACAGAAAAAAACATATATATATATATATATATATATATATATAATAAAGAAAGTGAATTTTTTTTCTCTTATAAGGATCGATTCAGATTTCTTTTTGTCATTTCTCAATCGATGATTTATCATCAGTACAGTTATGCGTGAGATATCAAAGTGAAGGATTAAAAATCAATTAACCCAAAAGATATAACTATTTTTTTTTTAATAAATATTGCCTTTTGAATATAATTGTAATTTACAATTAATGCTTTTTTTTCAAAGTAAAACAATGTTGGTTTTTAATTATTGAAAATTTATTAATGTTTGTATTTCGTGTCGCAATTCAACAAAGTGATTCATATGTCGATTATCGCTTTCATAGGCATGCTACTGTATTATTATCTATCGAATGGATCTCTAATAAATTCTCTGCTCGTATATGTCAAGGATAAGGTGAAACGAAACGAGTCGGAATCGACGTATCGATAAAAATGCGCGGCCACGTTACTTCCCCAACGAGAAGAGACTCCCAACGTTTTCTCACAATCCTTGAAGCGAGAGAAAGAGAAAGAATTTCACAAGAATCGCTCAATTGTTTGGAAATTCAATTATTGTAGAGCAAATTCAATCAAGGTCAACAACGCTAAGAATGCGTTCAAATACAATTTATAATTGTCATTAACTTTATATTGTTTACATGACTTTTATCATTGTCGTGTACTACAATAATTGCTAAAACACAATAGTTCAATAAAAAAATGTATAATATAAAAAAATTACAATAAATAAATAATAAACAATAATGGTACCAATGATAAATCGTAGCAGTAATTAATGGTACAATTAATGATAATAATGATTAATGTCATTAATAACTAGTTGTAACAAGAATTAAAAATACCAGCGATTAATGTTTACATTAATTAGTGGTACCAAAGTATAATGGTACCAAAGATTAATGAAAATATTAATTAGTGATACCAATTATAATTGGTATCAACTATTAGTGGTACCAATGATTCATGTTAATAATAATTAGTGGTACCAACGATTAGTGGTACCAAAGTTTAATGGTAACAATAATTAGTGGTACCAACATTTAGTGGCACTAAATTTTAGTGGTACCAACAATTAGTGACACCAAATTTAAGTGGTACCAGCAATTACTGGCACCAACTTCAAGTGGTACCAGTTATAAGTAGTACCAACAATTAGTGGCAACAACATTTAGTGGTACCAATAATTAGTGGTACCAATAATTAGTAACGCCAATAATTAGTGGCAACAACTTTTAGTAATACCAACATTTAGTGGAACCAACACTTAGTGGCACCAAATTTTAGTAGTACTAACAATTAGTGGTAATAATATTTATTTGTACTAATATTTATTTGTACTAATATTTATTGGTACCAACAATTAATGGCACCAATTTTTACTGGTACCAACATTTAGTGGTACCAATAATTAGTAGTACCAAAGATTAATGTTAACAATAATTATGGGTACCAACGACTAGAGGTACCAAAGTTTAATGGTAACAACAATTAGTGGTACCAACATTTAGTGGCACTAAATTTTAGTGGTACTTACAATTAGTGGTACCAACAATTAGTGATACCAAAAATTAGTTGCACCAACTTTAAGTAGTACCATCAATTAGTGGTACCAACAAATAGTGGCAACAACATTTAGTGGTACCAATAATTAGTCACACCAATAATTAGTGGCAACAACTTTTAGTAATTCCAAAATTAAGTGGCACCAAATTTTAGTAGTACTAACAATTAGTGGTACCTATATTTATTTGTACTAATATTTATTGGTACCAACAATTAATGGCACCAATTTTTACTGGTACCAATAATTAGTGGTACCAAAGATTAATGTTAACAATAATTATGGGTACCAACGATTAGTGGTACCAAAGTTTAATGGTACGAATGATTATGGTAAGAATAATTAGTAGTGCCAACGATAATTGTTAACCAATAATTAGTGGTACTAATGGTTAACGATATCAAAAATTACTGGTACCAACGATTAATGTTAACAGTAATTAGTGGTACCAATATTTAAATGAAAAATACTTTTAATAAATTGATTAATTAATAAAAAAAATTCCACCAATGGTTCAATTTTCAAATTAAAAATTCTAATTCTCAGAATAGTAATTCCTGAAATTCGTTAACTTTACCATACACATGGTATATTGCAGTGCAATTTGTCTAATTCGCTTTTAAACACAGTTGTTAAAGAAACCGTCGCGGATCTTGTGAACTGTAGTTAATTACACGAAGTTGGCCTCCACAATTTGTTTTCTAACCCGATATAAATTAAGAATACAAACTCTAAGGTAGTTGTGAGGATTTATATAGAGACGACACCGTAATGAATACCAAGCTCAAGTCTGTGACGTGTGAAAAAGATAAAGATTCTCATTTACGGTCAAGTTGTCGCAGTATCGTGATGCAATTTTTTTTTTATTTTCATTAAATGTAAAAAGTATTTATGAACCCGTATACCAGCTGTTTGAAGATATATACAATTTCATAATTTGAATAATATATTAATTACCTCGGAAATTTCATATTCGTTTTAATTTTTTTTCTTCAAAGAGATTTCTTTTAAAAGTGGATTGATAAATTCAAAAAAAAATTTCTAAAAATTGTTCTTTCGAATTTTTTTATCAAATAATTTTAAATGACTGAAAATATCTACAAGTATTAAGCGATATATCATTTCATAAAGCAAGTAATTTATTAAAGATTGTAATGTATCGAGACTGGGACTAATAATCTTATTAAATTTACACGCACTTAATAGCACGCGATGTTAGTTGAAGATATGTTTTGCACCGCAAGTACATAGTAGCAAAACTATTCATAAGAATTAATAATTATTGACTCGATATTGCATGGGGGGTTTTCACTAATCTTCAATTTAGTAATGAAAAACACCGGGAACTTTAATTGAAAACTTTTGAATCTAACGAGTTTCAACGATGCGGGTGGCTTATCTATATATACAACATTGAATGGACATTTGCGAAAGCGCCTTGTTGAACTTAACTGTGACCACTCACGCAGCTTTTAAATGATGAGCATGTAAACCTGCCGCAGCCACCGCCGCAAGTTAATCTCACCCGAGTAGATTATTATTTGCGATATATAATAAGCCAATAAATATAAACAGGCCACACGGTTTGAAAGATCGTCGCTTTCAAAAATATCGATATTGATCGAAGACATATTTCGGATAATTTGATAGTGCCGTTTTGTTACACACTTGAAAAAAATCAATCATATCAAAAAATCAAAAATTACATATCTACATTCATTTATATTAAACTGTCAGAATTGATTTCTTTCACGATTAAAAAAAAAAAAAAAAAAAAAAAGAATACTTCGCATTCGAATCATATATTTAATTTATTTTTCTTTAAAATTAAAGTTTCTTTAAAAATTTCAAGAAATGATTTTGAAAAGTGTCTCAACAGATTTTCACAATGCTAGATCAATATCATTGGATTATTTATCAATAACGTGACATTTGCGTGGGATATTGGTAAAATTTATTGTTTAACAGCAGGCCAAACAAGATATATATATATATATATATATATATACATTTACCGTTTGTGTAGGTGTCAGTGTCGTGATCATAAAACGTCATCGAGATCTAATCCAAAAGTGGAGGTAGAATACAATTGAAAATTTGATATGTTAGTTTGAACGAAGTGGGTGGATATGTGTCGCGGATTTATTCTTATTTAAGAAAATTACTCAATACTGATTGCAATATCTGTGTGTGAATTCTCACAAAATCGTTGACACACATATTTTATTCTTGAAAGTTGGAGTTCAACGTAACAAAATCTAATGACATCGATAAGTACTTCCTGGAAGTAGATTTACCACCGCTATGTAACGCGACATCAATCTTTAGCGTCACCGTACACACGCGTATATATGTATATTCGAACAATGACGAACTATATGTATGAATACATAAGCGTTTCATGCAAATTTCAGATGAAAAATTATTATCTCTTTGTTTAGCACTCAATTACTAAAGGTTTATCATCATCAATGTCTTGTTGTCACATGCTAATTGTTTTTGAGATAATTGTATCAGTGACTGAATTGTGTGATGCGTGATTGAGAAAATAACAAAAGAATTAATTGTATCACTGATCAGATCAAGAATTTGTGATTTTGTGTCAGTAAATGTTGGTACCAATAATTAGTGGTACCAATAATTAGTCGCACCAACTATTAGTGGTACCAATAATTATTGGTACCAACATTTACTGACACCAACTTTTAGTGGTACTAACAATCAAATTTTGTGGTACCAGCTGTTAGTGGTACCAACATTTAGTGGCACCAACATTTAGTGGTACCAACATTTAGTGGCATCAACTTTTAGTGGTACCAGCAGTTAGTGAGAACAACATTTAGTTGTACCAATAATTAGTGGTACCAATAATAAGTTGCACCAACTATTAGTGGTACCAATAATTATTGGTACCAACATTTACTGACACATACTTTCAGTGGTACCAACAATAAGTGGCACCAAATTTTGCGGTACCAGCTTTTAGTGGCACCAACTTTTAGTGATACCAATATTTAGTTGCACCAACTTTTAGTGGTACCAACATTTAGTGGCACCAACTTTTAGTGGTACCAACAATTAGTGATAACAACATTTAGTTGTACCAATAATTAGTCGCACCAACTATTGGTGGTACCAATAATTATTAGTACCAACATTTACTGACACCAACTTTTAGTGGTACTAACAATTAGTGGCACCAACTTTTAGTGGTACCAACATTTAGTAGTACCAACTTTTAGTGGTACCAACATTTAGTCGCACCAAATTTTAGTGATACCAACAATTAGTGATACTAAAGATTAATGCTACCAAGAATTAATGGTACCAATTATTAGTGATACCAAAGCTTACTGCTACCAATAATTAATGGTTCCAAAAATTAGTTATACCAAAGAT